CTGGAAAACGTTGTTGTCATCGCTGGCTATGTTCAGGGGAGATCAAGCAGGAATCCAAGGCCAAGGGGCCTCTCTCCGTGTCCGCCTCCGTGTCCGTGTTCTCAGTTCGCTGTTCGTCAGGCCTCAATACGACATGTGCAGTAGGGAATCTCCTGTCTCCAACGTCAGGTTTGCTACACCAAGGCTGCATGCGAGCGACAGCCGTTGTTGGAACCATGTAGATCCACTGGACGTTTCCTGTTCGCTGGGCGGTTTGCTGATAGCATCAGCATCATACCATCCCTTTTGCCTTCCGACGTTATTCCATGCTATCGGTTTAGACATGACCATGATGGAGTCGCGATGGATGATTCCAAATTCCAGCGGCACCATTCAACAGCTCATCGGTCCTTCTCTGCGGCTGTCTTCAAAGCAGTGGCACAGCATCCTCACTTTGCCCAAATGAGTGGACATCGCCGACCTAAACCGCTCTGCTGGGTCGCCTCCTGGAATCTGCGAAGGATGACGAGCGCTGAGGTGCCTGCCGTGACGCTGTACGGCCACTCACCGTCTCCCCGAGCGCTTCCATCATATGTGACCGCCATTCAGCTGGCCAGTTTCAGGCCTCAATGCTGACTTCAGACTCCATTCAGGCCAGGCATGATATCTGACGAGTCTTCAGCCGCCCAGAGCTCTTCTCCTCAAGCTTCCTCGCCGCATCTGACGAGTCATCCCGCAGTGGCACTGCGGCGGCGTTGGTGTCACCGCCAATCTTCCCCCCCTTTTGGCCCCTCGCCCCCTTTTCCCGCGCCGCAATGAGCGGCTCGCCTGAAAACATCGACAGCGTGAATGCGTGTCCAGTGTTGATTCTGTGTGACTTGAGTCCTCGGATAGATCGATTTCTGTCCTACCCAGGATCGGATGTCTCTATCTGTGGACGCCCAGAAGAAGCTCCGTCGAAGTCGGCGACCAAGTATGATGCCACACAGCTGGTGACACCAATGAGACATGAACGATCGGAGAATTACTGGTCACCATCTTGTGGCTTGATCAGGTAATGCCCGACGCTGTGAAACGATCAACTGAATGAATGATGAGACGGTATGAAATGGAAGACCATTGTTTGCTGTGCACGTCCTTCTCAACTGACACCTGACATATTATCCACGTGGCAACGAGCCTGAGAAGACTTCAATTCAGACGTGTCGCGGACTGATGGGGGCTGAAGTCGCCAAGCCCTCCTCGTAGACCCTACATCTGACAAGGCGACTACGGTCAGTCTGCGCCGGCCGGCTTGGTTTGTTCTCTTTCGCCACTGTTCTCTCCTCTCCGGTGGCCCCTTGTCCCCCTCACACTGCTGGCGTACAACTTAGTGCATCTTGGTTCACAAGGGAATTAGAGGCGGAGACCAGATCGAGCCGCGTTGGCCCCGAACACCGAACATGCCTGCAAGCCCGCACACCATGGCGGGGACCCTGGTCAGCCGGTGTGCCAGCTTGCTAGCTTGCCAGTGTGCCAGTGTGTGTCAATATGCCAGGTATTTACGTCTTTACGTCCCGGGGCCCGGGTTGGACATGTCCGTCCGAGACCCTAGAGCAACGGAACGCTTCTCATAGTAGTAACTTCTGAGCAAAGAGACGTGACTTCAAGAGACGCAACGAATTAGACCTCGTGACTCGTACAGTGTCCAGTTAAAGGATAAGTTACCGCGCTTATCCCGGCAACTGCGCCAACGTCTTTGCGCCACCAACCGCAAGTATTCTCCATATCAACCTCATGCAGGACGCGCCCGTTGGGTGACAGAAGGGGAAGCAAACATGAACTGCAGGGCGGCCGACCGCAGGGGACTGATCATGCTATTAGCATGTAGGCCAGGCCAGGTCGTGGATGTCACGTACCCGCCAAGTGCTGTACCAGCAGGGGTATTTTGGAAAAGAGGAGGGGAGTGGGCAGAAAGAGGAGGAGCGAGAGGGTGAACATTAACGTCCTTTGCCTTCCCCAGATTGGATTCCCAGCTACTCGGGGGATGGTTCGCAAAGATTGAAAGAGGAACTTCAAGCTCCCAACAGCATAGACGAAGCTGATCGCTCCACGGACGGACCGCAGCGAGCCATCGGGGCCGGTCTCCTCCCCCGACGACCGTGGAATCGGTACCCATCCAGAACCGCGCTAGAGACCGGGAATAACAGGCGGGGGTTCCGGCGCTCTCCATTTTGTGTCCATGATCGAGGACGTCTCCAGTCCCGGATGCAAGCCTACGTCTTCCGAGCGTCGAGCGGCCCACAAGATGGAGGGCAGCGCTCAGATCAATCCCTGATATTGTCATTGTTGGCACTAAGGACCGTTGATGAATTTGCTTACACCCCTGCCCGGTGATGTTTCTCAGACCTCACAACCCCGGTCCGGTTGCCATCGAAACTCCAACAAGATTGACAAGGGTAGGGGAGAGCCAATCATGGACCAGGCCATCCTCGACAGGACCGCACCAACAGAGGTTGAGCACCTTGAACGAGCCTTGAAATGTGTGAGATGGTGGTATTGGACCCGACGGGACGGGTCGACATGCACACTAAATTACTATCACACATTTTGTCACATTGGACATACTACGTAATTTCCCTTTTCCCGTTCACCAGTACGGCGTATGCGACCTGCAGTTTGCTTTCTGACTAGCAGACTGGGCGCACTCCGGCGATTCGAGCGCCTGAGCATTTTTTTGATAGCCCTTGTGGATCTGCTCTCTCTTCTTCGTGTGTGCGTCCTTCGTGGATTCATTGCGACCTCGCAGTCTACGAATGGGAGAGACAAGCTGTGACCGGGGACCAGGAGGGTGACTTCAGGCGCAAGGTTGATGGATCCTTGCCAACGGTGCAGCCGATGACATACAAAAACCGATGCACATTTGGCCATCTTGCGCAGTTTAAAGGCTAGCAGCATACATAATCCATTTGTCCATCGCGTGGAGAACGATGCTAGGATACACAATTCTGCCCAGAAGACAGAGGCAGGGGTTGTTGGCTTCCGTACGCACAGGCTGTGTGGTGTTCATGGTCGTCCACATTATCCAATCATGCGAGTTTTCTCATTTCTCTCCGTCCATGAGACCAGAGACGCTTTCGAGGTTGTGCCAGAATGATTTCTTGAAAAAGTGACAGCTCCGTCCTCAAATATCAGACCGATGGAGCAGGACGGATAGATGACGTCCATAGGTCCGAGAGGTCGGAATATGAGGCGGCGACGGTGTTACGTTGTGCAACTTCTGGGACACGACTTGCAGACCAACTTCATTGTGAACCTGGAACCCGGGATGTTTTACCGGATATCTGGACTTTGCAGGAGGACCAGAGTCTGTGTCGACCTGGAGGGTATCCATCGCCCCCTCCTGTCCCCCCTTCCACCCTCCCCTCCAGGACTGGCGGCTCCTACCACCGGGGTCTAGATATTGATCGATCGTTTCTTTTCCCTGCACCATGTTCGCCAAGATGCCCCCACTTGCAGCCTTTTTTTTTGGACAGTCGCCGACGACAGGGACTAGCGGGCAGGCGTCCTCGAGTTGTCGAGACTCCAGCAGAGTTCAAGAACCTGGTCACCCGTTGGCCCACATCAACAAGCGTTGCGTGTAGCGAGAGAGAGAGACAAATGCTGGTGTACATACACCGCCAACAACAGCGTTGCATCGGACCGCAACTGGCAGGGCGTGCTCTGCGCCAGTCCGCAGTCTCTGCTGGCGCCGTTGGTCCTCCCGAAGATCCATGCCGGTGTGGTCCTAGCCGACGGTGATGCATCAGCACCTTACGAAACCCATGAATGCTTGCATGGTGGTATCTCGGACTTGAGCTGTAGGGCTTTGTGGGCTGACGATACCGTCGCTACAATGGATGGACGGTTCTAAAGTGGAAAGCTCATCGTGGTCGGATACGGTATCCGTTCGATGTTGGCGTCTTTTCCCTTGACAGTTTTCTTCTACCTTACCCCACCCCTTGTCACGTTATCGTTGTTGATATGCGGGTAGACATCCATCGCTTGTTAGGGTGCCTGCCGCCTTCCTTTTACCTTGAGCTTGATTTCTCTTTTCTCCCGGTCTGTGGTAGCGCTCCTGTCTCAAAGCCCGCGCTCTTTTGTCCAACATCCCTGGTACCTGGGCTCTGCTAGCATATAAGAGCCAGTGCGGAGAACTTAACCTCGTTCCTACCCTCTTTTCTTCTTCATCGGCCTCCTCATCCATACGACGAAGACACTGTGACTCTCTCCCACCTCATCCTTTGCAAGTTCGTCTCTTCGTCTTCGCCCATGTCGCTGTCGTCTGACTCCATCTAGGGACATCCGCACAGGAACGCTCAACCTCACTAGACGTCGGAGAGCCTCTCAAGATGGCCATCAGCGTCCAGGAAAGACGCGCTTCACAGCAAGCAGCTGAGCGCACGACCCAGCAACCTTCTCGAGGCTGCCACCAGCCAAAGCGAGCCCCGAACCTATACGACATGGAGACCTTTGGGGGCGAACAGAATCTGTACTCGTCTCCGGCGGAAACCTGGGAGCCCAATCCTCAAAGTCCCGCATTGGCCTTTCGCCGATCCGGACGTTCTCGTCACCCTTCAGTTGACGCCAGCCGCTTATTCACTCCGATAAAGCGACGGCTTCCACACCCAACCAAAACGGAAAACTGTGAACCATCCACGGCACCGATGGCCAAAAAGGCCCGAACACCAAGCCAAGACCTTGAAGGCTCAGAATACAGAACACGACTTCTCTCTGTCGATACACTTCTTCAACAGCCTACCGCGCTATTCCCTCCTCATCACCGATACGTCCAGCAGCCCACGCCTCAGCCTGTCCAACATCAAATACACTGTTTTGTTCCTTCACCATCCAACTCACCGATTCCATCTTCGCTCGTCGCAACTCGAACTTTTCCACCGCCTCATCACCAACCGTCCATGTACCCCCCTATGCAGAGCCATGGATATTCTGCGACTCCTCAGTCCAGGCTCATAAGCTGTGATGGGGTTTCGTCACCTATAATGCCCTCCGCATCGGCCAATGTACACGGCAATCATCAGTCCGGGCAATACGCCAATACCGGTTCCAGTCCATCATACGAGGGACAGTCCAACGGACAGTCCAACAGACAGTCCAACAGAAGCTCAATGGCAAGCTCAGCAAGCAACACCGGCGCAAGATCGCTGGATCGTCAGCCGGAGGAGAGGCTAGATCAAGAGCCTTCGATCAACATCGACGGTCTGTTACAAAGGCTGCAGAGTATGACCCCTGAATCCCGAGAGGAAGAGTTTGGTCAATTGGCCGCAGCAATACTGAAGAATCTCTTCGACTCGAGCCATTGGTGCAAACAAAAGATCCAAAAGTCCAGAAACGCAACCGAGACATTGCTGAAGGCCATCATAGAGCGCGACCGAAGTGAGCCCAGTGGAACTGGTCGCCGCGCCTGTTACTATTGCTTCGAGATGTTACGAGAAGACAGATTCGGCAAGGACCAGCCCGCCAACGCCATCCTGAAAGCCAACGGAAACTACAGACCGTTCAACGAGAAGCGCAAATATCCCGAATCGACAAACATTGAGCCCTTGCGGCAGTTCTGTATGGATTGCGGCGTCCGTCTCCACTTTTACCGGCGCTGCCGGCGCTTCGTTTCGGAGACCGGCGCGGCTTGGTGGGCCTGCCGCTGCCGGGTGCTACGCCTGGTTGTGGACGATGAGAATGAACCTTGCCCGGATTGCAACTGTGTTTGCCCGCTCAGGAACCCTGACGAAGATGATGACACCTTTGAGTCGGACGAGTCGGATGGGTTGGACCCTTGATTGACAGATGGCAAGCTTGTCTAAAGTCGCAGTCGGCTTGCGACGGCGATGCGTGAGGGGAAGAAGACGGCCTAGGAGCACTACGCTCCTGTCTACTGTATCATCAGCTTTTCTTTGTTTCTTGTATTCGGTTGCTTTCTGGCGAAATTTGTTTTGGCGCAGTCGTCGAACTTGAGAGGGTGTGTCTGATATCCACGGAGGACAACAGCACTCCGGCAGATTTACACGGAAAATTTGGATTGGTGGGAGGCAAGTTGTCTGAAGACGGTGAGGTATTTTGAAATTGGACCGGAAGGCTTGTTTGCTTTGTGTGTGAATAGATTTACTGCATGACTTTGGATTGCCCAAGTGTCTTTTCTATGACTGCCCAAAAGATTATTCTATGTACGCCGAACCCATTCTAATATGTCTATGTTTTGATATCGTTTTGGCCGGATCGACAGGCATCGATGCCAACTTAGTTGTAGCCTGATCTCCCCTTGGTCGACACCCCGTGATCCCGAGTACGGTTGTAACCGCTGCGACCTTGAGGGACCTCTCGATGTCGTTCGCTTTCTGCCATCTTGACGTACTGAGAGCCTTCGCGAGGTCTTCCGCTGGCGTCTCTTTGCCTGGGGCTTGATCTCGAGGTCTGGCGACTTGAGCTGCGGGAACTCTGGTAGTCCATAGCTAGCTAGTAACGATGCGGGTGACTGGAAAGAGGTGTGAGCAGGGTCTTCTCACAATCGGTCGCCAGGAGTACTCACATTGTGCAATTTAGAGTAATGTGCAAGATCGACTGGTGGGCGCTAATTGGCTTGGTGTGAATGCTGGGTTCAATAGGTTTGTCGATGAAAACACGTGCAACTTGGCAGCAGTGATAACAAGTAAATGTCCTTCTCGACAGTGCTTTATATAGAAAGAAAAGACTCGTATGAATAATGGAAGCCTTTGACAGTCACAGCTATTGGTGGCGACGCGGCAGGGACTTCCATGGCTTGTATATTCCTCCGACAACTGCGCCTTGAGCAAAGTTCACAAGGCGAGAGTATACCTGCGACTCTTGGAGCGGCGCGCCCTTGCATTGAACAGCGCAAAACCGAAGGAAGGAAGTTGATAGGTGCAGATAACTCCATGCTGCATGGAAACAGCCCACTTGGCATGTGCCTTTGGCTTGATGATTACTCGGCCGAGGGGCGCAAGCTCCGTCTGACCTGGGATTCCGTAGCACGGGTCCAGGCGAGACTGGTCTTCGACGCATCGCAGCGTTCGATGTTCGGACATGGAATGCCAGTAAGAAGATGACCAGAAATTGCCCGACCTGCGAAGCCTGTGATTCTTCCAGAAACCGGACGGAAGGGGACGCGGTCTCGTGCAGCGAAAAGGGCTAAACCGGCCGGTGGGCAGGGAGCTTGCCATGGCACCCGGAACCCTTCCTAGAGGCGCGAAGGTGACGGAGAGTTTGGACGTTTCCCACTCAGAAGGGCGAGGTTTGAGATCTTCGACATGCGAACCATGTACACGGACGGGCCACGGCAGACTGTGCCGAAAAAGCTTGTGGCTCACCCTGTCCTGGGCGCGGACAACGTCCGTCGATGGAATCCTACCGGTCTTCTCCCGTCCGTGAGCAAAGTATCAGTGCCGGCAACTTTCCAAGAAATCAGAATATCGAAGCAAAGGCCGCGAAAAAGCGTCTCAGGTCCGGGAAGAAGCTATGGCATGGAAGATGCGCGCCGCGAGGAGAGTCTGAAAAGTGGGCGGTGGTCAATTCGCAGACGAGGCGTCGAAGGATTCTCACCGGTCGCGTGGCAGTGACAGAGCTTCTCTTCCTGGCGTGGCTAATTCCCCTGGCTTGGCTTGCATCCTGCGAATCCTATCATGGATGATCCCAGAGAAAGACCTCTCTCAAGAACAGCCCTACCGTGGAGGCTTAAGCTGACAGCTCAAGTTCAATCAATCAAGAACTCCATCTCTGCGAGCTTTTTCCATGACAAGCTTTGCCAGCTCTCCAATACGCGTCATTCGCGTACCGAAGCGCAGACCGCATCGAAGCCTGGGAAAGGTATCCGCAGTTTTGTAATGAAACCATGCTGTTTTTCTCGGGATGGTTACCGGTATCATAGTTTTTATTTCTTGCGATGAGGAACAGTGACTCATCAACCCAAGCCCAACCGTTGCTGCCAAACAAGAGCACTTCCGAAAACAACCAGACAAATCTGCGGGCGGCTAAGTTCGCTTGATGGTGCTAGTTCTCACGGATGCGGCCCGGCAACCTCTTCTGACGTCAAGCACCCGTCAGAAACATTCTTTGCTTCCACAGGCTTAGCGGGAAACCGGCCATCTCGCTCGGACTCAGATACAGGATTCACAGGACGGCCCGTCGCTGTGTTTTGTTTGAAACGGAACCGGCACCCGATTCGAAGATGCAGGAAATCTGAAGCGGCATCCGAGCTTTCTCCCCATCGAGACCCGAGACTAGCGACCTTTTCGGCCCGCCGCATATGATGGCTCATCGATGTCGCTAGACAAGCTAACTCTCTTTCATAAAGTCCAGATCTGCCATCGTCCCGGAAGATGAGCAGGCACGCATCCACTTCAAGTCAAGTAAGTGGGACAAAAAGCATTACACAGAAGTGGTTTTTCCCTGCGTACCTACGTCCTGTGCGGTCAAAACGTGGTCGGAATAAGGGTCAAAGGAAGTGGTATTTCCCGTAGAAAAAGCAACGATAAAAGAGTGAGTTATTACATAATCTCTCGCTTGGTGTTTTGTTACAACAGAAGAGGATGGGGATACAGGTAGAAGTCAAGACATCCCTCTACTGGATACCTGATTCATACCTCCTCTGACCCCGAGAGTATACTTAGCGCCGTTCTCAGAAGATAACGAAGGAACGCATCGCGAATGGGATCGAACCATTGTTTCGCGAAAGGCTCTGGATCGCGAACACTTCGAGGACAGACGTTGCTGTGGAAAGTAATTTCTTACGGATGGTCATATCTACAAATTCCCCGAGACATGGGCTTTCCCCCCAAACCGTCAGCCCGGGGTAGCCAGTGGGGAGATGCCATCAGTGCCTACAGTATAGAGCTACATCTGAGTAGTAATGAGGGAATCTCGAGAGACCTCCAGAAGTAGAGGAGGCCGAAAACGTTAAGCATCTAGCCTCACAAGCGAATAAGAGGGCTGCCCCCAAGCCTTTACATCACCGTCCATACCACCAAGCAGAGCCCCGCAACGTCGTTGGACGCCGTTTTCGGACAATCGATCGTACCGACCAATCTCATTAGTGACCGAAAATGGGGTTGTTTAGTTGCCGCCAGTGACAGTTGGGTAGGACGAAGACAGCTTCGCTCCAGGTATTTTGGAACGGATGCCGAGCGTAGACGAGACCGGAAACATAAGCGGATGGAAATTGACGATCAGGACGAAATGATTAGTAGCTGTACGTAAAGTATTAAACAAGCAGGACGCTCGCTGTTCGTTGCCCATCTTCTCTCTCCACTATCCGAGCCTTTATTCTTCACACAATTCGATAGTCCAGCAGAGAGCATCGGCTTCAACATCACCATCACGATGCAGACTCCGATTTCCAACGTGTCCGCCAACAGGAGGTACCTGTCGATCTTCTTCGCTGGTGCCACCCTCCTCCTCCTCCTTGCCACGGTTCACGTCTCGCGTGAGGGTGTGCCGGAGTCTATCAAGCAAACGACAGGATGGAATAAGTGCGTCCTCTCGCCCCAAAGCCTCTCATCATACGCAACTGGTAGGCCTGTCATGCTGACATTTCAATCGCAGTGGCGGCAGCAATGGCCACACTTACAGGCCAGGACATGTGTCTACCTACGGCGGCAAGCACGACAAGCGGCCGACATTCGCCGACCTGGCCAAGGACTCCGGCACGGACAAGGTGACGGACCACAACTACGCCGTCCTGTACGACAAGTACCTCCCGGCCTTCCGCGACAGCCACGTCAAGATGCTCGAGATCGGTCTCGGCTGCGGCATGGTAAGTCCGACCCCCTACATCTGCTCCCCGTCCGCAAGCTTACGGCGTCGTAGTCTTACGGTCCCGGCGCCTCGTTCTCGACTTGGATCCAGTACTTCCCCCAGTTGGAGATCAACATCATTGAGTATAACGAGGCTTGTGGCAAGGCATGGGCTGCCGAGCATCCTCAGGCGGCCGTCCACTTCGGCGACCAGGCCAACCCGTCGTTCCTCCACGCAGCGGGTGCCGCTGCCACGGCCGATGGTCTGCTAGACATCCTCATCGACGATGGCGGCCACAGCATGCGACAGCAGGAAGTCAGTCTCCACGAGCTGTGGCAGTACGTCCGCCCCGGCGGTATCTACATCATCGAGGACCTACACACCAGCTACTTGACCTCGTGGCAGGGCGACCCATCCAGGACCGACGCGACGAAGCGCACCTTCATGCGCTTTCTCTATGAGATTATGGACGACATCATGAGCCTGCCGGCGTACGAGGCTCATGTTGAACCCGTCGGTGCCACCAAATACCCCTTCTCGCATGAGATTGCGAGCATCGACTGCATGGAGGCGATGTGTGTGTTGGTCAAGAAGGAGATTGGAGCGCGATAAATAGTTTGTTCAAAGGGATGCGACGAGGAGTAGCGGGTGGGATGGGATAGGAGTCCGGTTGTTTTCTCCCTTGTTTGACAGGATACTGGCTTGCATCGATTCAAGTACTTGTCGAGTCAAAGCCAGCAATGCTTAAATATAATTTATAATTACATCGCCCACAGTGGCGTCCAGCCAGCGCGAGAATACCATTAGGCATGTGGCGGCTGCTATCGCCAGCGATTGACTGGTGTGCGGGGGCTTCGTCTTCAGCTTAGTGAGTACAACGAAGCGTGGCGTTGGGGATAGTTTAGCCTAAGGAGGTGGCGCTTGTACTGGCAGTCAAGAAACGTGAGGTTTTGGAGATGTGCTGGAATGCACGGCACGCGTTGGAGCCCCCTTGAACTATCATGCAAATGTTTGGAATGAGGCCGGACCCTGGTGCACCCTTGGGTTGTGCTGGCTTGGGCATGCCGGGTCTCATCATCCCTGGCCTCCCGCCGAGAAGCCTCTCTTCTCCAACCCAACATCCTAATCCAAGATGCCCCTTGAATGTGCAGGAAGGAGGATGGAAGTCGCCCCTTCTTTCATGCGAATAAATGCACTTCCCTTTTTAAGCAGTGGAGGTACTAGATCGAGACTTCCGTGTCCGCGGCGGGAAGCCACGCTTACAAACATTCAAGGGCTGCAGCGTACATTCTGGCAACGCCCCTCCCTCATCCCGTCCTACTTAATCTACCTGAGCCCCCAGCTCTTCAATCTTCTTCTCTTCATCCTCCACTTTTTAAGAAAGCAGCCGGCCTTTCTCGTGGATCCACAATCGGAGCATCATCACACCTGACTCTCGATTCAGCAACCAACCTCCACCATGGGTTTGCCCGCCAACAACCGCCGCGTCGTCCAGATGCTCTGGCTGGCTGCCGGATTGCTCTTCGTGCTCGCATTCCTGTCTGCCATGAGCGGCTCCGCACCCCAGGCCAAGGCGTGGGCGGCAAACAAGGTCGGCTCCATCACCCAGCTCAGATCAGGCCGTCCTTCCCTGCGTGAGGCCATGGAGAGATCCGAGGCGATCTGGAAGAAGACGGTCCGACAACGTCACGAGATGATCGCTGCCGATTACGGTGATGCTTCCAAGATGCCCTTGTATGAATCCCCTCCCCGTTATCCCACGTCAACAGATCAAGAAACCCAGAGGGCTAACTATATGCCTTCACATCCATCAGGTTCCCTGCCCACGACTCGGAATCTTACAACACGAACCCGTACACGATCTGGGACTTTACCCCAGCTTCATGGAGCTGCCCTCACGAGGTGGAGCGTATTGGCCGCATGGGAGATGGCGGCAAGTGGGTATGCGGAATGTCGCACTACGTCAACTTCCCCAAGGACAAGCAGTGTGTCGTGTACTCGTTTGGTGTTCGTGACGAGTCTAGCTTCGGTAAGTTGCCCGCCACAACATTGAGTATTGGCGATGGTGTTTCCTGACAAAGCTCGCCATTCAGAGAACGAAATGCTGAGCCGCACGCCTTGCCACATCTGGGCATACGACTTCTCCGTTGTCGACTTTGGCGAACAGCTCGAGGCTTCCAACCGTGCTCGTGCCAAGTTCCTTCAGGCCGGTATTGCCGGAAAGACGGACCTAACCGCGGACCCTCCTTTCTACAGCATTAGCGACTTGATGGAAATGAACGGTCATCAGTACATGTACGCATTGCTGCCCACTCCTGACCTCCATGCTGGACATAACCGCTGACATGGCGACCTCACAGTGACATTCTCAAGATGGACATTGAGGAGGCCGAGTATGCGGCCATAGATTCTTTCTTGGCCGACTTTGCCGGCGGAGAGCTCCCCGTCGGCCAGCTCATGATTGAGATCCACTTCTTCTCAGTGAGGGACTCCAAGACGTACCTCGACTGGTGGGAGCGCATGGAAGCCCATGGCCTGCGTCCTACATGGACCGAGCCCAACCTGCTCGCCGTCACTCTGGGTTTGGGTGTGAATGTGGGTGTGAGTCCGAATCTCCCTCTGTTGGCCGAGTACACGTTGGTCAACGTCGAGGACCGCAACAATGTCCTCTTCCATGGCAGATAAAAGCCACGAGCATATGATATTTGGCGTGGGGTTATTTCAATGCTTCACGGGCGTTGTCGGTACATGCGAATGAATGACAATATGGGGACATGGATATTCTATTAGTTCAGTCAATGTGTGAATTAAGGACTTGTTTCCCCCCACGTTCGTTCGTCTATGACTTCCAGTCACAGACGTTGATGATCGTGTTCCGCACAGCTCATGACGTCGCGGCCCGTAGTCGGCGATATCACGGTCCCTTGACCCGGTGTTGTCATTCTATGATCCTTGACAGAGACGAAGCTGAGATGGAACTAAAGGCAGACGAAAATTCAATCGTTCGGTCAAACCTCGGCCACCTTCCAGTACCGAATTATTATTCTGTAAATGGGTGTAGAGAAGTCTAAATACTCCAATTCCAGGGATCGGTCGTGGGCGAACGGCAAAAAAGAAAAAGGGGAAAAGGTTTCGTTTCTGCTACGAAAACGCTGCATGTCAGCTTGTCAGTCCCGTGCGCTAAACCTCTTCTTCCCCAACGCTCCCTGGTTTCCCCTTGCGACAAGCTCGATCCTCATTTGCCGTGGTCGAAAGTCTGGCCTATCGTTGCCCTGGCTTCCCCTGGCTGTAATGCGGTCAGCCAGTCCGAGGAGGGTCGCGTCCGTCCCCGATGTCTGCGCGCGGCGACAAAGCTTATTTGGACCCTGCTCCGTCCAAGTTTTGACTCCGCAGCTGTAGACCGGATGGCGTCCGAGTGTCACGACGGGCGTAGGCGGAGTTTCTTGATGGTGGCAGAACCGTTCACGTACTGATGGGATGGCTTGAGTGCAAAATGGTGGTAAGTATGTCATTACGATATCTTTTTTGTGATGATTTTACATGATCAAACGTGCAGGGGGCTCTTTTTTCATTGCACCAAACACTTGCTGGGCAGTCCGCACGGTCCAGACTTGACATCCTTGTCGTCAAGTTCCTTCGGCGCCCGGCTCTCCGTCGCGGGCGGATCCTTCTTGACCGGAACCGGCTTGTCCGCTCCGTTGGTACCGTTGGTCGTGCCGTTCTCCACCTTGGCACCGTCCTTGCTGCCATGCAGTCAACCCACGTGCTTGGCAACGGTCTCGTAGAAGGACTGGCCCTGGATGCGGGCGATCTCGAGCTCCTTCTCGGAGGGCTGGCGAGAGCCATCGGCGCCGGCGAAGGTGCCGGCACCCCAGGGACCACCGCCGTGAATCTCGCTGAGGTCGGCCATCAGGGGGAAGGCCTTGGCGTAGCCGAAGGGGACGTAGATAATGCCGTGGTGGGCGAGGGTGGACATGGCGGCGATGGCGGTGGACTCCTGGCCGCCGCCGAGGGAGGCGGTGGAAATGAAGAGGCCGGCGAGCTTGCCCCAGTAGCCACCGGAGCTCCATTGCTTGCCGGTCTTGTCCCAGAAGGTCTTCCACTGGGCGGGGAAGGTGCCGTATCTGGTGGGAATGCCGAGGAGGAAGGCGTCGTAGGCCTCGAGGGTGGAGGGGTCCTCGAGGACGGGGATGTCGCTGGGCTTGGGAGGAGCGCCCATCTTGGTGAGGACCTCCTCGGGGAGGGTCTCAGCGATCCTGTTGATTGCGCAGTGGTTAGGTGGATTGCAAGCTTTTAGGGGCGGAGAAGGGTTTGTAGCAAAAGACGTACTGGAAGAGGTCGGCGGTGCCGCCGGCCTTCTCGATACCGGCCTTCTCGGCCTCGGCCAGGGTACGGATGTGGCCGTACATGGAGTACTGTTGTGAGGGCGCACGGGATTAGCATGGCGGTCTTAAGGGCAGGGTTGGAGTTGAGTTGGCGATCGCGGCGGGGTTCAGGGCGCCGAGGTGCGGGCAACGCGTATCGAGGCGTCATGATTGTGTGCGGGAGTCGTCATGTTGTCTGCAGAATCAGGCCTTCGATTGCAGCCAGAGGCAACGATGGGCATCTACTGCACACAAGGCATGCGGTAGACATGGAAAGGGAGACAGCTTGCCAAGCCACCGTTGAGATTGGGTGAGGTAGTGAGGTGGTAAGGTGGTAAGGTGGTGGGTGAGGTAGCAGGTGGGGGGAGGGGCAGAGAACGGGACAGAAGAAATTGCCCAATTAGGAAAGAAGAGCTATGGGTCGGGTGTTAAGTAGGTACTCACGTAGACGATGGCGATCTTGGGAGCCATTGTGGCAGGTGTGTGTCTCTGTAGAACGGATAGGTAGGAAAGGAGGGGTATCGATTGCAGTGAAGAGAGGAAATCAGTGCTCAACAAAGAGGAACTGGAGAGAGGCTGGAGTGAAGGGTGTCGTCTGTTGGGAAGGGGCACATCTTCTTATATCAATCTACCCAGTAGGCAAGACAAGGTAAGGTACGGATACGTTACCACGCAAGGCCGGCAGCTTGGCCAGGCGCGGAAACGGCCAGAGAGGGGCTGGAAGGGTTTGGATACCTTACCTTACGGCGGTGTTGCATCATCAAAGGGACGCTAGACTCGGGCAGGCCAGCCAGACGGGCGTCAAGGTAGGTACTTTCCATAGGTTGAGGTGGGATCTGAGGTGGACGATGACTTGCGGTTTCATCCAGCTTCAACGGCCAAGAGCTACATGCTGCTCAGCTAAGGTGCTGTAAGCAGGCGCGCGACAGTTGACAAACAGCCAGGTGCGGGTGCGGGTGGAGAGGGAAGGAAAGCAGCTGCCCTGCCCCTGCCCTGCCCGGCATGGGGAGCTACACCCCTCCAAGCTGGTCCATGCTCCGCTGCGGGGGCTGGCTTGTTACTGTGACATGAGCACCTGAGGTAAGGTGCGTAGGTAAGTACACTCCTTGGGTTCGTGATCTCAATGTATTCTACTCTGTACCTAAGTAGGTCAGTACTTTACCCGCCATACTGTTTCTGTGCAATGAAAGTCTCACTCAATACTCATCACAGGAAACAGACACGATGCGAATCAGAGCCGCGGGCGAG